TGGAGGGGGGGGGGGGGGGATAATTCGCAAGTTAGAATTCTGCGGAATCCTCCATTTAAACGTATTGACCGCCCGTAATGCCTGTTTTTTGTGTAGATAGTTAATTTCGTAATGGCACACGGTAACGCGTGAAAAAATTGTTACGTATACAACACAATTCTAGTTTGAGCAAAAAACGTTTCCTTGAGCCATCGTACGCTCGCGACGGTGAATGTGTGGTTTTATGTTTGCGTTGGTAACGTTGGAAAGAACGTTCCCTGGATCTATCCGTGTGCTCCGAGTAATTTTTCGAAGTGAATTTTCATGCGGGAGATGCAAAGAAACATCCCCCTGGGATAGCGTGCGTTTGCCTCTCGCGTTTCCCATTTAATCTATCAAATCTTTCGGTCTGGAAACACACGTCTGCAAATCGTGCAAAACGTACGTACGATCCCTACGGGTCTGATCGAGCTATTTTCCACTGTAATTCTTCTTGCTAGATACCAGCTCGACGTAACGCCAAAGATTTGATTACTGGCTTTGTTGTTGAAAAGGAAAAAGAGAGTATTTCTACACTTCTCTCGAGCGCAAATAACAGTAAGAGAAGTGAGACTGAGAAAAATTTTATTTAGAGAAGGTATAATTATCTCTTGCGCGCGTATGTTCTCTGTTAACTTTTCCCTCTTTAACGATGTATATTATATCCCTTGACGTTGTTTTCCTACAAAGACATAAGATCTACCATAAATGAGCGTCCGTCTGCTCAGTGCGAGACGATGTTTCGCGTACGACGACGGTACGAGATGGATGGCTCGTCGTCGGCGTTAAGAAGTTTCTTTAAGCCATCAGTTCTTTACAAAGGCGGCTTTATCTCGGCTCGTTCTGGATACATAACGAATATCGAGTACTTCACGGAGTGAAGTAGCACAAAACAAGTAGTCTAACGTATAATCCGACCGAAGAATATCGCGCTGCGTATGTCCGTTTCGCGACAATTATGAGTGCGTTTTCGATACTTATGTGACGCGTACGCGTTAATTCGTTCAAGGCAGACACAGACATACGACGGATATGTAGTAGCGAGTCGAGAGAGAGCGGTAGATTTACATGATAAGTAATGTTTTAAGCTATACTTGGTAATCGTTGTAACTCATTACGACTTAGAACTGCACGCATTTCTGTAACGCGGAATGTATATATATATACACACATACACACACATATATATATATATATATATATATATATATATATATATATATATATATATATATATATTTCGTCTCGCGGAACTCTCACACACACCGGACAATTCCACCTTTGCATAAAGCGACGCGCGAGCGATCGCGTATAATCGCAGAATCGATCACACGCGAATCACACACGATTGCGAGCACGTGACGCAAGCGGTTGTTGCATTTTCTGCGTCACATTCCCCGTAGGGGTGTGAGAGGGCACGTATGAACGCGAAGGCGTGAATTAGCTCGGGCAGACACGTGGAATTTATTTAGAGAGCTCCTAGTTCTTACGTCGGATAATAATTGTAAACGCGAACGTGTGGAAGAACTCGAATCTGTGAAATCGAGGTTATTTTCTCAAAAGTGTAATCGAGAACTCTCTTATAGCGCACTCACGTAAGAGCATGCATGTCGGCTCACCTTCTTAGCGTCCAAATAGATCTGTATGTCTTACTACTCGTGATCGATAAACTCGAGATGTGCATACTCGTATCAATTCATCTCATGTATTAAGGAGGCTCCGTACCAGCTGTACCAGTTTGTAGTTTTCACGATCTTAGCGGCTATTTTATCGAGCATTTTATCCTCGATCCTTAACGGTCTAATTTGCCAGGTGTTATTTGACGCGCGGTCCGTTACGATGATCTTTTCCCGCGGCGTCGCGTGCACCCTCCACGTCTCATGTCCTTTCGAACTTTGAACGAAGCGAACAGATGTGCAAGCGCGAAAGGTGCACGCGACACGTGCTGTAGGACTCGATTGCTAGCGGAAACCGACCGGTTGTCGCACGCAATTCACGTTGAATGTGACAGATTTTGTATTACAGTGATACGCAGGCCGTTAAGGTTAACGTTTTGTAACGCGAGCATGTGGCCCACTGTGAAACCCATCCCAAGGCGAAGTTCAAGGCGGTCTACGATCGCGTCGCTCACGAGGACGAAATGTTGTGGCGGATGCTTGTTGAGGCTCACTTCGATTTTATAATACACCGCAAGCAATAGATAGTGCCAAAAGTTCGTTTCACCTAGAAATTTCATTGACACACATTGACCGTGTACGTCCTCGGAGCGCATCGTTAGAGAAGCAAGCTGACTAATATTTCTGCACACTCGGCGCTGACAGCGCGTAACGTTATTTATTTTCGCGCGAGTAAATCGCGCGCTCGCGCTGTCACGTCGACGCTTGCAATTAATCGAAAGAGACGGAAGAAAAATTTGCCAAAGAGAGAGAGAGAGAGAGAGAGAGAGAGAGAGAGAGAGAGAGAGAGAGAGAGAGAGGGAGGAGGGAGGGAGGGAGGGGGAGAGAGAATATCGATATTGGAATTCGCGGTTGGCTGGAAAAGTGGCTCATACGTAAACAGACCACGAAGTACTGCAGGTTGCATCGCGGGATATGAAATTGTACGAATTTGCGGTCTTGAACTTCCGCAGTGAGTGGTAGTTGCGAGGAAATGGTGCGAAACGCTTCTGAAAATTGAGAGCATATTTTCTACTTGTTAAGAGACAGAGCAGTCGATAATATGAAAAGGGAACACAACCAAACCAAACTTGTAGAAATAGAATCGCAGCTCGACCAAGTACTTGTCTGGCTGTCCCTTTTAACCCTTTAACGCCGGTATTTCTAAGGTTTTGCTTTGAAAATTTAAGAATCCTTTACCAATATTTCGTAATTATCGGTGCGTAAATTCACCTTCTCTTTTGTAGTAAGTTGGAGTGATATCTTGAGATAAAACGAAAGACGAGAGGGAAGGAAAGAAGCGTTGAAAGAATCATATTAATTCGAAAGTAAAAAGTATATATGCACAAGATACGTAAGAGACAAGTTTTTGTTTTTACGGCGTGGAAGGGTTAAATCTATCTCCCTATCATCCGAAACATCTTCTACTTTTAACATCGCATCTATCCTATCTAATCTCTATCTCACGTTTGCGAGCGGAACATTCTTGGGATTTGATGTAAGACTACTATCTTTAGACTGATTAGCGATCGGTAATCGCGGGGACTGTATAAATGTGTGTTATTCTGCAATTATATATAAAGACAAAAACGTAATGAGAATGGAAACCTTTTGACCCGACACCGTTGAGTAAATTATATATATATAATATATATATATATATATATATATATATATATATATATATATATATAAATACACATATATATACGTAACGTACAGAAATAAGGTATTTAATATTCTAGAAGGATCGGCACACATTTCTATACTTATTATATCACAGCAGCCTTTCTAGATAAGGAATTGTACACATGGCGGTTCCGTTAATTGCTAATAATTACCGAAAAACAAGCGCGATGAACGCCAGGTCGAAAAGGGTGCGAACGTATCAGATGACACACAAACATACATACACGTACAAAAACGGGATTATCGATTACCATATTCATCGATTGTCTAATGACAGTTTTGATTATCGCTAATTACTGGAGAAGATAGACGTGTGATATGGATACTAGGACAAAAGGATGCAAACGTATCAGATAGTACACATCATGTATACACACACATACACACATTTGTACACAAAGCGGGAGTATCGATTTGATATTCACCGACTGTCAAAGCGGCCGTCACGGTCGTTCTCTAGCGTTAAAAGATTTTTATCACCGAATGTACAATTCTACGAGGAAAGTTGTAATAACGACGGCGACAAGCCGTCAAAGTTGCGTAATATTGTACGATTTTTAACAATGACTGGCCAAATATCGTGCATACACAGGATGACACGTACCATATACCAAAGAGAATGAGAGTCACGGAATGAACATAGGGGCTCTGAGCAGGACGGGAAATTATTTTCAAAATCTCCCGGGGGGTAATTCGGGTGTGTGTTATCGCGCGCATGGCTATCATGGGACGTGGTTGGGAGCGCATTGTACTCGCGGTGGCGTAAAATAGCAAAGGTGTAATAACGGTAATGGCGTACGCGGCAGCGGAATACGACACATGCTCACGACGGGCAGGCATCAATTACGGGCAAAGTCTCGAGGAGCAAGCGGATGCGACGAGCGCTGGTTTGACGGTAGCACGAGTATTCTTCCAATGCGAAATACTTGATTATTTACTCGTAAACGATGATGGAGTAGACACGGGATAAACGTCCGACCGTACCGTCAAGTCGTTTAGTCTTCTGTGCACCTATTTGTAATCCACGACGGTACCCACAGACGCGCTAAGCCCCGTGAATATTAATGAGCGAACTTAGAAAATAACCATAGACGACAGTATCCTTAGCTGGTGTGTATCGCGTTAGGAAGAATAAAAATGAAAACCTACGCAGAACTATGTAAAACGGTAGGGAGTACATACATACACACACACACATCAAACACATTATACACGCGCCAAACACATACACACATACTACACGCACGCACATACAACACACATCTCGGTGCACGAATATAAATGACTTTCATTTAAATTCAGGCACACCCACGGCAACCAGCGAAACGCAAATGAAATTTTACATGTATATTAACTCAGATGATTATTAAATAAAATACTTATAAGAAAAAAATGTATATATAAATAAAACCGCAGGTATACATTATTGTACTATTCACGTTGCTCGGCTTTTTTTAAACCAACCCCCTTTATCTTCATCGTGTCAGTCACTGATATTTTTCTTCAATGGCATTTTCTTTTTATAAAAAATGAATATAATAATGGGGGAAGGATGACGGCGTTATTGTTAGAAATAAAATGAGTGAGTATCGGTTCGTAAGACTTGAGTCATTCAACGATAAGATTGATAAGAACAGCTCTCGTGGGAAATGAAAGGTCCCGAGTTCATTTCCTGGTCATCACTATTGTACTTGATATTTTTCACGCTCGTGTACCTCACAATAAATGCGAATTTCCGGCATAATATGAAAGTTTAACTTCTTTAGGAATATAAAGAGTATAGAAATATTAAATAAAATATACTTTCGAAAAAGTAACATTTAACAGAGAGGAAGAGAGAGCATTTAAGAAACTTTTATAGACTACATCAAGTATTAATAAACTGTATAAAAGTTCAGAAAGTATAAAGAAAAAAGAAAGAGAGACATCTTTTTAATTTTATCGTCTCTACGGCACAACTCTTCTTTAAGCATTTATGCCTACTCGTACTATCTGTAGGTAATAACCCGTACTTCGTACTCTTTCTCTCTCTCTCTCTCTCTCTCTCTCTCTCTCTCTCTCTCTTAATGGATAATAATTACTCGTTACCATCATTAACTATCAGCAGAGTTTTAAATTTGAAATATCGATAGCTGACAAATATCGATTCGAATATCGATAGATGAGTAACTTCACGGTGAACATTTGAAACTGTAGAATTAGCATAACCTCATTCCTAAGGTTCAGCGCATTTGGAAGATGTATAAGAGAACAATCGCAACAACACTACGTAAGTATCAACATTATCAGTCGCGCGTGCGTGTACAGAGACACGCGATGGGTAAGATTTCGTCGATTAAATGTCGTTTTACTCACCAAACGGCAAGTTCCCTTCTCCAGCAGACTTACCGCAGATTGATAAGCGTCCAGTAGACGAAAGAATTAATCGGCTGCCGTCGCGAGGTGTCGCCTCCAGCAGTTCCTGCCGCTGGTGCCACCGCCCTTCGTACCGTCGCGACCTCGGTAGACCGGCCCTACCTCTGCGGCGCGTCCGCGTCCGTACGCACGCATGCACGCACGCACGCAACGAGACGCAACGCTAACGCAACGCGACGCGACGCGTCGCGACGTAACGACGACCTGATTGAGCGCCACTGCGCTCGTTTCGCGTGTAATTCGCGCTCAGGCGGAGAGCAACAGCGGAGACATCGGTTGGTTGCCCACCGTAGACGCCGTGAGTGAGTGTGTGGGTACACACGCGCGCGCGCTCGCTCGTTCGCTCGCTCGTTCGTTCGCTCGCGCGAATTGTGTGTGTGTGTGTGTATATATGTGCGCGCGTATGTGATGGGTCTGATTCGGGGCTCTCGTAAGCGCTCGATGGTCGAGCATCGTCGCGCACACGTCGCCGCACCTACGTCGGGCGGCGCCGCGAGATCGGCCGCGAGCACCGCCACCCATTAAACGACCGCTCGTCGTTCTCCGTCGCGACGAAGACGCGAGATCAGTCGGCGGAAGTGCCGGTGCGGAAGTGTCGGTGTTCAGTGATCAATGAACTCTGCTTGATGCGTACTGGTATCGAGGCGTGCTAGCAGCGGTACACACAAACAGCGACGAGGACAGCGGCTGTGGTGACGGCGACCCGGCAGATGTATGTACGAATATAAATGCTGGCTAGCTGTTTTCTCTTTCTCTCTCTATCTATCTCCGTCCGCGTTCCTGGTTTATTCTTACGATTGACCCCGGAGTTTCCTATCGTCGCGCGAGTTTTCAACGCTCGATAAGGGCGTCCGTACCTTCGTGATTTCTTCGGTTGTTCCTTCTCCTCCTCCTCCTCCTCCTCCTCCTCCTTTTCCTC